GCTCTTCCTCTGCCTCCCCTGCTGCCCTGGACAGGCACTGGGACTTCAGCAACAGCGAGTTCCTTTATGGGTCTCTCAGGAGACTGGCCCCCGCCTGAGCCCAGGCCCTACAGAAGCGCAGCATAGACCAGGGCTTGGGCGCGGGCTCTGCCATGGCTGGGGCACGAGGTGCCTCTGAGCCTCACATCCTCATCTGTAAAACAGGCCACTGTTTACTTTCTGGGGGGCAGGGGCCCTGAAGTTGGTCCTGTAGTTGGAGCCCGGAACACTGTCCCTGCCCAAGCAGTGCAGCTGCTAGGATTTTTCTTACCATTCTTGGTTCAGATTTTGGTTCTTCCATAAAAAGGGACCTATCTAGGTGTTTTCAAAAGTGACCTCTCTGTGAGCGAGACTGACTCCGACTTCCTGGCTGACTCGGTCGCTAGTCCGGTCCAGTCTAAACCATCCCTTTGTTCTGTCTCAAACAGCCCTTGGCTTTCCATGGGATGCTTGGGCTCAGTCTGGTCAGGATCAGGGCTCATTCTGGGACCAGGATCTGGGCGAGAACTGTGCCAGAACAGCGGCTCGGCATGCTGGGGAGTTAGGAATCTGTTGGTGACCTGGACCGGCTCTCATTTAATGGCGGCAGTGCTCCATCTGAGCCAGGTGTCTTAGTTCATGTTTCTGGAAACAGAAACAGACTCTGAGTTGGAGGCTGCATGCAGGTTTACTGGGCATGCCCTCAAGAGGGCCACCTGGAAAGTGACTGGACAGAAGAGATGGACCCGCAGAGCCACTGGAACCGAGGCCACTATGGGCACCTTTGGAGCTGACAGTCTTTCAGAGCTGCTCGAGGTGAGGAGAGGGAGCCAGGCCTTTGCAGCCCACATGGGCAGGTGCTGGCCTCAGCGAGTGTTGGTGGCCAAGTGCGCAGCAGCGTCGCCCTGAAGGGGCCCCGAGCACACAGCGTCCCTTACAATCAGCCCAGGGTGCTGGCTCAGACCTGGGTTTCAGCAGGACCCTGGGAGTGGAGGAATGAGACATAGAGCTTTAATGTCCCCACTGGGCAGGACCTTTGTCCTCGGCACTCAGTACAGAGCTTGGATAACAACACAAGTCCACAGATGAAGGACGATGAGGAGGTGTGAAGTGGGGCCTATGCTCAGTCAGTTGGCTGGCCAGTCAGCTTCCTCCAGAGGCTCAGAGAGGGTAAACCACCTGAGTGAGCTCACACAGCTGCTCAGGGCAGAGTCAGGGCTGGAACCGCGACTGGCTGAGTCTAGAGTTTATATTCTCTCAGCAACCCCAGACTGTGAGCTTATTAGAAAGCGAAAGTTGGGAACAGGGGCAAGAAAGCTCCTCCTCCCAGTTCTCGGAGCGGGCCTCTGGAGCAAGGCTCAGCCTGTCAACTTGGGCCGCCTCTAGCTGGCCTGCCAGGACCCATGCCCAGGGGAGGGAGCGGCATCTTGCGGGCGGGCGGCCCTTCTTGGGTAATGAGGCCCAGCCGGCGGTTTGCAGGCCTTACAATGGTGAATAATTCATTTGCAACCAAGTCTGGGAATTAGAAACCGTTACTGGATGATTTATTTAACAGGGGCGGCTGCTGGGGAAAGGAAAGGAGGACTTTGAACTATAAAAGGGAAGTACATGTCTTGAAGATGGATTTAGAGAAGCCCATAGACTGGGGTTTCAATTCCAGCTTGTGTACCAGCGGCGTGACCTTGAATGAGTGTCCTGACCTCCCTGTGCCTCAGTTGCCCAGTTAGTAAAGTCAGGACAGTAATAGAATTGTCAGACTGATGAAATGAATTTGAATTTGGAGAAAACTTCAAATCTGGCCTGGCTCATAGTAAGTGCTCAGTGTTTGCTGAGTGAAAAAGTGAAAGCTTGGGACCAGCAGTTAGCATAATGGCTATGTCGCTGGACTCCCACGTAGTCAACCGAGGTTCAAGTCCCAGACCTGGTAGCTTAAACTCACGCTGGGCACATGTGTGTGCCTGCCCAAGATCCCGAGAGGAGAACGGAGGAGAAGGGGTTGCGGCGTGGCCATTACCCCAGAGGGTGACTTCTCGCTTTCTATCTCTCTGTCTCTCTCTGTCTGTCTGGCGAGCGCACGCACCCTATAGCAAAAACCTCTCAGAAAAAAAAAAAAAGAAAGAAAGAAAGAAAGAAAAAGAAAAAGTGAAAGCTCATAAATGATAATACCGACTGACTGACCAAGCGTGTACTGCATCTGCGGCAGGCTCTGTACTAAGCTGTGTGCGCCGTCCCGCACTCACGTAAAATGGTGCTGTGATCACTTCCAGCACAGACGAGAAAACAGAAGCGCAGTGGGGTTCAGCAACCCACTCAAGCTTAGCCAGGTAATCCTAGTGAACCAGGGACTTGAACCCTGATCTGAGCCAGGTCTCTGACTCCAGGCTGGTGCACTTATTCACACTCCCATACCAGCTGGTGCCTAATACACACCAGGCTCTTATCCTCCTTAAAAAAATAAACTCCTCCCTTTCCTCTTCCCCCCAGGCCTTGGCAGTCATGGCCCCTAGATTCTAATAACAAACCCAGCAGGTGGTCAGGGAAGGCCCAGGCCCTCTTTGTCAGAGGAGGGATGAATCATTCGATGTCCCACAGCCTGGGATAGAAGCAGGTATAGGACCAGCAGTTGGCCTAATGGCTATGTTGCTGGACTCCCACATAGTTGACCACGGTTCTAGTCCCCGACCTGGTGGCTTAAACTCACGCCAGGCGCATATGTGTGCGTGCCCAAAAGGAGAACAGAGGAGAAGGGATTGTGGCATGGCCATTTCCCCTGGGGGTGAGTGCTCGCTTTCTGTCTCTCTCTCTCTCTCCATCTGTCTGGCAAGTGCACGCAACCCAAAACCTCTCAAAAAAAAAAAAAAAATTAAAAAAAAAAAAAACGCAGCAGCAGCAGCAGCAGGTTTCTGGGACCTCTAGGAGTGACCACAGTGCGTCCAGAGCAGCTCAGCCCCAGGAGCGTCTGCTCATCTCCCCTACACCACGCTCCCAGGGCACAGAGGTCGTGTCCTGCCATCCTGCCTAATTCACAGAAGGGCCTTATTAAAGAGTAGAGGAGGGAGCTGGGCAGGAAGGGAGGGGGATTCCTAAACCCACATAGAAGATAGACTGTCTTCTCCCACCACCTTCGCCCCGCCATTAAACACACTCTGAACACATGCACTCCTGCTGGGGGGAGGACAGTGTGACTGCCGACTGGGTTGGGTGCAGGGGCAGCTGTGTCCCCTACCCCCCCAGCAGCTGGGCTTGCGGTGAGTCAGCCTGGCTCTTCCCCTCAGCTGCTGTCCTTGGCCTCCCAGAGCAGGCGGCACTTTCCGGAGGTGCAACAGGGTCCCTGGGCGCTCCATGCTGCCCTTAGCACCTGCAGGGCCTGGTGTGAGCAAGGGATGGTCACCAGTTTGCACAGACTGTCTGCTGTGGGTCCCTCGGGGCTGTGGTGTCCACTGTGCACATATGTGTGTGCCCTGGCTGTGAGTGGGATGTTGTAGGGGTGCACCGAGGGGAGCTGAGAGTCTTGCATTCATTCTGGGTCTGTCCGTGCTTACTTGTGTCTGTGGGGGGGCGTGTTCCAGGTGGGTGTCTGCGTTGGTTTTGAAACGATAAGGTGTGTGTGAGCACACGTGTGTGGATGTGAATAAGCTTCTGTATGTATTTGGGTGCCCTGGAGGACATCGTGTGGAAGTGCACACGCATCTGTCCAGGCAAATGTGCATCTGTGTGCGTGAGCACGCTGTGTGTTTCAAGGTCCTGTATGTACAAATATTTGCCTCCTTGGGCCTGGGGAGAATGGCCTGCGTGTGTATGTTGTTTATGATGTGTGCGTGCTACGCGATGTGAGTTATGATGTGTGTTATGTGTGTGATATGTGTATGATACATGCGTGTGTGGTGTATGACGTGTGGTGGGGGGGTTGGCTGTGGTGTGGACATGCATGAAATGTACAGAGACAGTTCAAGCTCGGGAACCAGGTGTCTCTAAATTCCGACCTTAGGGGCGGGCAAGTGGAGTGGTTAAGGCACTAGAATTACATATGGTTGACCGTGGTTCGAGTCCTGAACTTAGTGGCTTGCCTTCTCACTTTCCCTTTCTCTCTCTCTTCAAATTAAGAATAAGTAAATTTGAAAAATTAATAAATGTCGACCTTGCCATATGACCTTGGGTTAGCTGTGCCTCTTTGAGCCTCAGTTTCCCTCTCTGGGCCGTGAGAGTGTGCCAATCACGTGGGCCTCACATTCGGGGTGCTTAAGTGGGCCGAGGAGGCAGAGTAAGGCTGGCCCTGTGAGAATTGCCGGCGTGCGTGGTTCCAGCTTGTTCAAACCCTGTCTGCATTATTTTGGACCTGTGTTTTCTCTTTCCATCAGATTTAACAGGAAGAGGGTTTCCTGTTTCGGATTCTCCATTTGTTATTCTTATTTTGCTGTCATAAAATTTTCAAAGATCGTGCCATTTAGACTTGAGTAGAGATGCCAATCACTTCTGCAAAAATTGTGCTTCTGCCAGGAATTCCCTCCTGTGCAGCTGGGCGATCCTCGGTGAGTGCCAGGCTCCATCCTTCCAGGCTCCCCACCCTCTGGTGGCATCTAGACTCCCTCATGGCTGTCTCAGTCCCACCCTTGACCCTGCCAGGCTCTCCCTGCCTCCAGGCCTTCTCCTGGGGCTCCCTCTGCCTGGCCCTGTCCTGCTGTCCCACCCCTCCCTGCCCATGTCCTCTGGCTAGCTCCCAGAGGATTCGGGGCGATCCCCTGTCCAGCCTCCACCTCCCCACTCTCTTCCTGGACCAGCCTGACCCTGGGCCTGGGCTGAGACTTGGCCTTGATCCTGGGCTCAGCCTAAGTCCAACTCTAGCCCTGACTAAAGATGTGTAACCCGACTCCACAGACCAAGGGCAGCTCTAGACTCCTTAGCTAGAATCACAGCTGGGGAGAGCCTGGGCTGGGGACAGATCTTAGCCCTGCTCTCGTTTCTGCATCCGTGTCCCCGCAAGGCCTTGCCCTGAAGCATGGCGGTCACTCACACTCACCTTTCACCCCTGCCACTCCCAGCACCAGAACATTCCTGGGGGTGGTGTTCCAGGATGGGGTGGGAACTGCCTCCCCCCAGCTCTGTAGGAAGGTCCAGAGGCCTTGGAAGGACCCTCTACCCTCTTCCCGTGGAGTGTCCACTCCTCTCCCAGCTCGGCTACAGCTCTGGGGACCAGTTTGGCTTCTGGCAGTGACCTGACCTCAGGTGAGTCACTCACCTCTCCCCAGTGGAGCAGGGAGAGCAAGGAGCCACCGCCAGTCCCTCCGGCTCCCCCCCGCCCCCCCCCCCGGCGGCCCCCCCCCCCCCTGCCAATCGAGGATGGAGTATTGAAGCCACTGGACAAGGGCCAGGCCTGGCAGGACCCCAAGAGCTGCCACCTGAGCATTAAGATGGTCCCGCCAGCCGCTGGGAAGGGAAGAGGCTGGTGGGAGGAGGCTGGCAGCCAGCGGGGAAGGGAGCTGAGCCTATCCTGGAGTGCCCTCTAGTGTCTCCAGAAGGGCCTGCAGCCATGTTCCCCCCAAGACACCTCTGCCCTCTAGGGAGACCAAGCTGATATGCCAGCGTGTGCTTTGGCCGCCTTTTTTTTTTTTTTTTTTTTTTTGGGGGGTTTTTTCCCCAGGCGCCCGCCGCCTGCCCCTGCGCTCGCCAGACAGACAGAGAGAGACATAGAGACAGAAAGTGAGAAATCACCCCCCAGAGGGGATGGTCACGCCGCAATCCCTTCTCCATTCTCCTCTTGGGATCTTGGGCAGGCACACACACGTGCCCAGCGTGGGTTCTAAGCCACCCGGTCTAGGACGCGAACCGCGGTCGACTATGTGGGAGTCCAGCGACATAGCCATTACGCTAACTGCTGGTTCCCTGCTTTGGCCTTCTTCCTCTTTCTTGGTCCCAGTGGACACCACACCCTGTTGTTCCTGTTGCTCTAATGCCTTTCCCTGCTCAGCACGCCCACCCGCCCCATGTTAATCCTGTGACCTCTGAGTTACCCCTTCTCCTCCTCTTGCAATGCGGCTCCACACTCCTTCCAGAGAGAGCTCTGCCACGTGTAGACCAGACCATGTCACCCCCCTGCTTTCCCCTCTTCCATGGCTCCCCAGTGCCCTAGGACACGGTCCAACCTCACAAGCTCTGTCCTCTACATAACCTGTCGTCCCCCGCCATCACCGCTCTCTCACATCCTGCACTCAAGTGATACTGACCTGTGTGCAGTCCCCCAAGGCACAGTGCCCCTCTGTCACCTGACTGCCCATGCTGGGCTCACAGCCAGTGTGCCTTCTGCTGCTCCCCCTGGAAACTCCTGTCCCCCTCCAAGGTCCTACCTCCTCTGGGAAACCACACTCAGGCCACTGCCTCTCTGTCCTCGGGGCGCCCAGTGGGTGCTGAGCTGCATCACCCGTGGGTCTGCTTTTCACTAGACATGAACTCCCCAAAGACTTAGGCTTAGTTCTTTTTTGTGCACAAATCGCCTACTATGTGCCCTGTTGTAGGATGGATACAGACGTCTACACTGAAGTCTAGGACAGGGTGTAATCAGTGTGGGGCTCTGAGGAAAACCCAGGGATCTGCAGGAGCTTGGAAGAGGGTCTGGCCAAGGCTGAATGTGGGGTGGGGTCTAAAAACTCTTCTCCGAGGAGATGAGGCCACAACAGAGTCTGGGAGGACCGGCAAAGTGGCGGCAGGCTCCCGGCCAGGCGGGGAGGGTGGGCGTTCCAGGGGGCCGACCGAGGAGCTCTGTGGGGGGAGGGGGGTGATAAAGGATGCCGGTTAAGGCGGTCCGCACCAGCCGTGGTCCCACCTGCCGTTTCACTTTGAATTTCCCGGCCAAAACACCTGTTTGTAATTATCGAAGCTGGGCCCAAGTTGGGCTTGCACGTGCACAGAAGTTTTTCTTTTTGTTTGCTTTGCATGGTTTTTCACACACCAATGACATCTTTCGTGGACACTGAAGAGTGACCGCGCCTCCTCTTGTTTGGAACCTTACCTAGCGTCACCCGGAAACCACAGGCAAGATGCCAACTCTGCCAACATTCCCTGTTCTAGGCCAAACCGTTGGTAGTAACAGCAAGTGCCCCAAACCGGGTGATATATGAAAATAGAGGTTCAATTGGCTCACGGTTTGGAGGTCCCAGGTCCGGGCTCACCCATATTCAGCGGGCGTCTTGGGGAGTCCGATCACGCGGCAGGGCAGAGCGGCCGTCTGTGCTTCCGAGCGCCTTCCCTCCCTCAGAAGCCCACCAGGGGGCGACCACGTTCAATCAGCGATCACTCCCAAAGGCCTCGCCTTCCCCGCGGGGAGGAATTAAAGGGATTTCTTGGGGCACAAGAAAGTAGCTCCCTCCTTATCCGTCTGCTTTTGTGGCTGCACAGCCGAGGGATTCTATGTCTAGGCCCAAACGTCTCGTTACTTTCTTATGCCTGCTCCGTTGTTGCGGAGAGTACTTCCAATTTGAAGTACATAGCCTCTTAAATTACTTCTTTATTCATTCATTTAACCAATGCTGCTTTAACTCTTAACATGTGCCAGACCCTGTTCTAAATGCTTCACAAATAATTAGTCATTTGATCCTCCCAACGACTCTGTGCAGTAAAGTGCCCTCATTATCCCTTTTTACCAGGGAGCTCACTAAGCACAGAGAGGGAGAGCAACTTACCCAAGGTCACACAGCCCGGCAGTGGAGAAGCCAAGATTTAAACCAGCCTCTACGCACCTCAGCCCTGGCCAGTGCTGTCTCCCTATAACTTCTCAGCCAGGGAAATGGGATGATTTTCTTTTGGAAATTAAATGCACGTGTCTGTCCTGTTTCATCTCAGGATAATAAGGGATGAGACAGATGTGTGTTATGAAGGGGGTTGAGACGAGGTTAAGAACCAGGGTGAATAGCTCATGACGGTCGTCACTGAAGCCTGGGTGTGGACACGTCCGCCCAGGGAGGAATGTGCTGTGACAGGCAAACCCCAAGGCGCCCAACATTTTTGGGGAAAATGAGTGAGGAGTGGTCAGGAAAGTAGGCTAGAAACCAGGGAGCAAGGTTGAGGAGGCCACAGAGAGAGCGCGGGTGGAGGCAGGAGGCCCCGAAGCCCTGGCCAGGGCAAAGCTGAAAGCCGCCCTGGGCATGGCCACAGAGGAGATGGTGTCACCTGAGCAAACAGTGTGGCCTCTGCTGGGCTGGGGTCAGTCTCGCCTGAGGCCCCAGTGCAGGAGAGAGAGGACAGAAACGCCTGGCCTTGTCGGTAAGGGGACGGACGAGCTATGGAGCGGAGTGCTGCAGCAGTGAAAAATCCGCGGTCCGGCGGTTCGCGTTCCGGACCCGGTGGCTTAAATCTCACGCCGGGCGCGTGTGCGTGCGTGCCCAAGATCCCGAGAGGAGAATGGAGGAGAAGGGACTGCGGCGTGACCATCCCCCCTGGGGGATGATTTCTCGCGTTCTGTCTCTATGTTTCTCTCTGTCTGTTTGGTGAGCGCACGCGCCCTACAGTGAAAATCTCTCCAAAAAAAAAAAAAAAAATCCGCGGTCCGGCTTCCAAAGAAAACACCCAAGAAGAATGGACGTCATTGGTGCAATGATCTGCTCAGTGCCGAAGGTGGAGTTGGCGCATCCTCCATGTGGTCAGCACTCACTGCATGTATGCTCTGCAGCGCCAGAGGGCCAGCCCATGGCATGTGGTGAAGGCAGCTGGATCCCACGTGGCCGACGACGTGGTTTGAGTCCTGGACCCGGCAGTTTGAAAAGCACGTCGGTGTGCCCAACTTCTGAAAGGCAGGAGAGATGGAGAAGAAGGGGTTGTGGTGACCATGCCCCATGGGGGTGTGTTCTCATTTCCCCTCTGTCTCTCTCTGTCTCCTGCAAGTGCATGCGCCCTTTGGCAAAATTTGAAAAGAGAAGAAAAACCACAGGGTGTCCCACAAAGATGAGCGTTGAATATACGCGCACCAGAAATCAGAATGAAAAAGAAAGGGAGCCCTGGCCTCTCTCCTCGGCCCTCCAGCTCCTGCCTGTGCGTCTCCCAGACCAGCCTTATGGGACGGAGGGAAGGGAGTCAGCAGGACCGTCCACAGGTGTCAGGAGGGGAGCAGGACAGAGGCTGGTGCTGGGGAGGGCCTAGGAGCCAAACAGGACACCCAGAGACCTGGGAAAGGAGAGGCTGAGCCTGGTGGAGAGGTGAGCAGAGCCTGGGGGGCCCATCTGGCCATCTCCTTGGCAGGGAGGGCAACCCTCCAGGCCGGCCCTGGCTGCAGCTGTGCTCACAGCAGTCTGAGGTAGACACTGTTATCACCCCACGGACAGGTGGGGGAACAGGTTCTGGAGAGCAAAATCGGACCCACAACACCACACTGCAGGGTGCAGAGCAGGCAGGATTCCGCCCAGGCCTGTCTGGGGTCAGAGCTGGGGCTCCCCTTCACAGCTTTCCTGCCAGCCGCCCCACAGGCCGGTAGCTGGGGGGATCCCACCTCTGATAGGGAGGTGGCAGGGAATTGCTGCACTGCTGAGTGCAAGGACAGTTAGCCCAGAGGCAGAGACTGGCGGAGAGGAAAGACTGGAGTCAGCAGACCCAAGTTCGAATCCTGCCCACACCCATAGGGCAGGACCCTGGGCAGCTGACCTTGCCTCTCTGCCTCAGTTCCCTCGTCTATAAAATGGGGTCAATACTTGCCATGTTGTTCTCCTTCTCACCCTTAGCCGCAGGGGTGAGGATGGGGCACGTGCACTGGCTCCTCTTATTGTCCACACCTCCAGCTGGGGTGGCCAGGATGCCCTGCGCCTGTCTAACCTCAGCCCTGCTTGCCGCCCAGGCACTCTCTGGCCTCCGCT